GGTCACCTCACAGCTCAAAAACCACCACCTCAAGGGCTTCCAGTTCATTTTGGGATAGTAGCAGAACTACAGAGTAAAAAAGCATTGCTGACTTTTCTCAAGCCATTTTTAGTTACACATGGAGTAGAACCAACTTAGAAATGCTCCAATGTGCCCTGGAGAGGGTGCAAGAAGGCAACTGAGTGAGGGACAGCCAGCTGTGAGGAGATGTGCAGGGTCCTGGAGTGAAGTAGAAGCTACCAGGTGCACAACCCCATCCTGGACAAGATGAGCCATGTGGCAGTGACTCGGAGGAGGGCATGTTGCTCTCATGCTGGGCATTGTGTGATCAGAAAACAGCCCAAGGCAGCAATTTGTTGGGAAGAGAGGTGCTCTTAGTTCAGGGATTTCAGCTGTCCTGGAGCCTTGACTGTAAAATCAGTGGTGCTACCATGGGCAGACACCAATGTGGAGAAAAGGGTGTAGGCGTATCTCTGGAAGTACGAACATTCCCAAGATGATGGCATCATCAAAGAAGAAACTGTCCAAAGCATGCTGTGGCATGGAGACTCACAGATGGTTTTCAAATGTATTTCCTTTCTCCTCCATGAAGCAGGGGGAGCAAGAGTTTACAAGACAGGCAAACATCAAGAACATGCATCAGCTCTGCACAGAGGAGTGTTCTGTGTATGGCTTCGTGAGTCATCTGCAAATGTTTACTCAATAATGTGAAAAGGAACACTTTATTTCATAAGTGGATCTTTATTTAAGGATCTGATGCACCAGCTTAGCGTTTCCAGCCAATTAACAGGGCAGAATCTTCCCGAGCCTTAGGATCTTCTGCCCGGATGCTGCCCTGTGGGAGCCTCAGCTGCAGCCATTTTTGCGTTTTCACGAGTTCTTTAGTTTTTTTTTTTTTTTTTTTTTTTTTTTTTTTTTTTTTTTTTTTTTTTCTTCCATGGCGGCCTGATAGCTTCTCTGGTCAAGCCACTCTAACTTCAGGTTTCTGATTTATCTTGGCCATTATATTAACAGCAGAAGCACCAGTGATGGCCCTTTGCAATTTGACTCTACTGCAGGTTCTTCTCTTTGAATTTCTTCCCACTGTCCCTTTTTTTGTTTTCCAGAGGACAGTTCAGTTTATCCTTCAAGGATTCATGGTGGGAGACCTGGCAGAAGCTCTTGGATCCTGGCTTCAGCCTGCCTCAGCCCTTGACTTTGTGGCCATCTGGGGAGTGAACCAGCAAATGGACGATCTCTCTATAACTCTGACTTTCGAATAAATAAATGAATCTTTTCAAAAAAGGATTTATCTTGGAAACAAGTGGCAACTTGCATTTTCGTTAAGAAATTGAATAATTCTGTCTGTCTTGGTGTAGCACACCTGTGTCTGAATTACAACCTGCACCTGCTGGAACTGCAAGTTTGACTCATAATGCTGATTCCCAGGAAGGAGGAAATATGGTGAATGAAAAATACAAAAAATTAATTAAATTTAATAGTGTTTATCTGAGCAAAGCAATGTAATGCATGAACTAGGGGGCATGCAGGACCAGACTCAGAGGTTCAGTGAGCTCCCCCTACAACGGTGGGCAATAATTTATATTCGTAGGCAGCACAGAGGAGAAAAGCATAGGAGAAGCTTGATTGGCCACAGGTAAGTGTTTGCTTGCAACTGGTTGAAGCTTGGCTGCTTGTGATTGGCTGAGACTCAGTTTTGTTACACAAGTTATACTCTTAAGTTTCTGTTCATTTTCTGTAGATAGGTTATGTGTCATGCACTAGTCCAGCTTTAGCAACTGTCATGACCATAAACAGGTGATATTGGCTTAGAAGTGCTCTGAGCTGTGTCATCTCCCCATTCATTCTAGAGCTGTGTCTCGGGGAAATCTCTCCTCTACAGTCAGCAGCCCTGTGTCCTTCAAAGTGCATAGTCCTGTGTGACTCAGCTGTGGGGAGCATAAGACTGACTTTAGACTTCTCTAGCCCTCATTTCTGCTTTTGTCAGCTCATTCTTGTAAACCATCTTTCTCATAGGTCCCTTGGCAGTTCCAAGCTCACACATCCCCAGCCGTTTATTTTGCTTACCAGCTATGTCTTAGAAATTCTGGGGGAAATCTATCTTTTGGGTCTAGCTTGGTTGACATGAGCACTCTGGTATTTACTATTTTAAAAGGATCTGACACAATTAGGGATGAAGCTGACATTGAGAGTGGCAGTGTTCTTGATTGCATGTGGAAATTTAAGATTTATCCCACCCACCTGGCCTATTGTATTTAATCTTACTGTACTGTTTTTCAAAATTTTTCTCATACATTAATTCATTTCTTTCTTATGACAATACTTCGAAGTAAGTAGAACAATCATTATTGTCCCTCAGTAACAGATGTGTCATTTCATGGAAGCTTGTTCAAACTTGTAGTAACTCCATCTCTGTTTTATTCTAGCATTAACTTTTCTTTCTTCTTTCTTCCTGTGTCCCTACCCTTCCTCGCTCCCTTGTTTCTCCCTCCCTCCCTCTCTTCCTCCCCATCTTCCCTCCTTTCCTCCCTCCCTTCCGTTTCCTTGCCTCACCAACTTACCTGCAACTTTCTTACATGAATCTCTCTTTTCTAAAGCTGACTTCTTTGCCAGAGTGTGAGTTACTAGAAGGGAGAAATCTGTATTTCCATCCTTGGAAAAACAATTTCAGTGCTCTACTTGTGGGCATGTACTTTACGTTCATCTATCATTGCTCATTCACTCATAAGTGAATCAGAGAAATGATGAAACATGAGAAGCAAAGAAAGTTTAAACATACATGATCTAAACAGGGTTAAACTTATATGATCTAAACACTACAATACAGTAACTCAAACTTTTAAACTGGAGAAAGAATGAATCAACAATGATAAAGGCATAAGTTAGATTACATGAGGTCATTATGTACCCCGTCATGGCAAAAATAAAAATTACAGAAAAAGTGATTGATTTATTAAAAAATGCAAAGTATCAAGACAAGAATATCTGAACACACCAATAATAACTGAAGATGCCTAAAGAGATTGCCATCTAAATGTCCCTAAATGTGATTCTATAGAACTTTAATATAAGAATCGATGCAACAGGAAGTGCCCAGAGGCATAAAAAGATACAAGAATTTCCCAATTCATTAAATAATTTTAGTATTGTCTTGATTGCAAACTTGTATAAAGATCACACACACATATGAAAACTCACTCATTCACAAAAAAGAAAACCGAAGACCAAAAGATCTATTACAAAACATATAAAATCATGAAGTACAGCAGAGAATTAAATGAATCATGTCCAAACAGTTTTGCATCAGAAATGTAAAAATGGTCTAACAATAGGAAATACATTCATAAAAGTCACTACATTAAGCATCAGTGAAAAGTATATGATCATTGTTATAATAGTGGTAACAATAATAATGATAATAATAATAATAGAAATAGTAATTTTTATTGAATATCATATACTCAGCACCATTTTAAGCACTTTCATTGTGAGCTCATTTAATTTTTGAAATAACCCAGTGGAAGTGATCTTACTATTTCCTCAACTTTTCATATAAAATAAATGAGGCAAAAGTGGTACAGCCATTGAAGACATATAGAATTCTAACTCCAAAATGCATTCTCTGAACCAGTGGATTTTGTTATTTCTAGAAATGACTTCGATGGTTTCAATGAAAAAGAGCAACACAATATAAACTAAGAAGAAGGAGGAGGAGGAAGCTGAGGACAAGGAGGAGAAAGAGTGTATCAACCAGAAATGCGCAGTCTATATTATAGTCAGCTCTGGAATATTGCAAACATTCCCATTAAAATCACAAAAAGAAGCTGACTATCTGGGGCCAGCACTGTGGTGCAGTGGATTAAAGCCCTGGTCTGAAGCGCCGGCATCCCATATGGGTGCCAGGTCTAGCCCCGGCTGCTCCTCTTCCCATCCAGCTCTCTGCTGTGGCCTGGGAAAGCAGTAGAAGATGGCCCAAGTCCTTGGGCCCCAGCACCTACATGGGAGACTTGGAAGAAGCTCCTGGCTCCTGGCTTAGATTCAGCGCAGCTCCGGCCATTGTGGCCATCTGGGGAGTGAACCAGCGGATGGAAGACCTCTCTGTCTGTCTCTACCTCTCTCTGTAACTCTGACTTTTAAATAAGTAAAATAAATCTAAAAAAAGAAAAAGCAGCTGACTATTCTTGTTGCTATTTAGCATGGTATTAGAGATTATGGTTTGTGTAGTACGTGAAGAAAACATGACAGAAAACAATATTAAAGTGGAAAAAGCAGAGACTTATAATTTAGAGAGTATGATCATTTACCAAGAATTTATAAGAGAAGAACTTAAAACTCAGCTGTGAGAATAATATAGTTTGTGAGATGATGACCAGATACAAGATCAATATTGAAGAAGCATTATGCTTTCCTAAGACAAGAGTGATCAATTAGAACATATAATGTACGTAAAAAGGCCATTCATAATAGCAATAAAAACATAATATGCCTAAGAATAAAATTAATTGGAAATAAGAAATGACTATATGAGCAAAACAATGAAAGGCAAGTTTGAGCAAATAACCTAGAGGAATCTCAATAATGTGAAAACTATTTCAGGTAGATTAATTCAATATTTTAAAGATAACAATTCTTAAAATGCATCTATAAATACAATTAAAATTAAGTTGCAATAGGGTGTTTAGTAACAAATTGATTCTATAAAACAAGTACAGTGAGGAAAGCTCCACAGAGTAATGACACCTTGTTTTTAGATAGTAAAATATAGAGGATCCTACAACTGAAAAACGTGTGTTATTTTTTAATTCCATTCTCTCCAAAAAAATTTGAAATACTCTAATTCCACAAACTTGTAGTTTAAACACTGTATTAGTCACAAAATAATAGAAAATGTAATAATGAAGAAAAGTATAGAAATGTATAGAAATAGACCTATGTGTATATGATAATGTATTCATGGAGAGTGTACATTTTAAATTCACAGAAAAAGGAAAAGCGTCTGGTAATTTTTTAATTGAAATATTTATTAATCCTTTTTTAAAAAAAATGTTAAACTTCTGCTTCACAGAAAAGTATGGTAGGTATATAGAGGTACAAATATTTAAGCCATAAAAATACTATAATACAATTTTGGACAACATTTTATAATCTTGAAATGTTGGCGACCAGAAACCTTAGGAGATGATCATATCATCACTGATGATGAAGATTTCATAGTTCCAGATAATAGAAGGCATAGAACAAAGAGCAAGGGACAATTTGGAAGAATGTAACATATATTGCCCAAGTGCTACCATGTGTCCTGAATATGTGAAGAATTGCTACCAATCTCGAAGAAAATTTTGAGATTCATGAATAATTTAAAATAAGACATTTTCATTATTTGAAAAACTATATTTATTTATTTATAGAAACACAGAGAGCCCACACACACTGGTTCTGTTGTCAAATGCCCACAATGGCTAAAGCTCATAGCTGGGCACTCAGTCCAAGTTTCCCACAAGGGTAGTAGTGAACCAGTTACCTGAACCATCCCACTGCCTCCCAGCTACACATTAGCAAGAAACTGGAAGTGAGAGTGGAGATGTAACTCAAAGCCGGGCATCCTCACTCAGTATGTGGGCATCCCAGTGGGCATATGAACAGCTAAGCATAAGTCACCCTTCTGTGAACTAATTATTGTCCTCTGTGGAGTCCATCTCAAATTTGCAGGTGTAATACATCAGTAACAACAAAGAAGAAAAAAATTAGCTATTAAAATACAATGCATTGCTGACATTCTTATTTTTGAAAGAAGGCTACTTAAAGTCTTACAATTTTTACTATCACCATTACTTAATAAATAACAAGGATATTCTAACACTGAACTCTTCTCCTCAAACATGAGAGGCTGCAGAGTACTGGAGCCCACCCTGGCCTCTGACTGGGGCAGCTTCTCCTGCAATCCCTTGTCCCTTCCACAGTGTAGGGGCCTCTCTAGCACCTCAGGGGACACTCCACCTGCTCCTCCAGGTCCTGTCACTGTACCCATGGGTGAGGTGCTCACTTTCAAGTATCTGGACCGGAAAGCTTGAAGGACTAAACTCTTCAACTTTACTTTTTAAGTGAATACAATGCAGTGAAATGCTTGGTTTCTCTTGGGAAGTAGGGGGCTTGAGCAGATCTGTGGTGGATGGCAAAGTTCCATACCTGGGTTGTCCCTTCAAACTGACTAAGCCACATGTTAGTGCGATGACCCTTTATATCTTTGCGTTGGTGTTAGTCTTGTAGTGACTAAAAATCAGATTAAAATCATCCAATATATGATGGAATTTCAAAAGTTTGTGAAAAAATTGAGTTAAAAAAATGTTTGTTTCCATGAAAAATAGTTTTGAAATCATGTGTGGATTTTTTTTCATAATACACATTTTTCATAAAGTTCTTGAAGATATCATCTGTGCATTCATAGTGGCAATTAAGCAAGCAGCCTCATTCCTCCTTTTCAGAGATAACAGTACATTTTATTTTAAAATTAAGAAAGAAGGAAGGATTTAATAAAATGTGACCCAAATCTCCCTCTATGTGCATTATAAGAATAAACCTAGCCTGAAGATGTGTTGCTGAAACAGGCACACCTTAAGGTTCAGATTCAGCCCATCCATCTCCTTATGACTTCCTCCAGCACCAGGGGCTGATTAGTGAGCCGTGAGGGCCAGGCAGACCACCGGAGTTCAGCTTCTCCTCAGTAGGCGCCACTACTGGAAGGGAAACAGAATGAACTGACAGAGGTGAAAGGCAAGAACTCAACTCTAGATCAGATCTATTCTGAGAAAGCTCAGAAGAGAGAGATTTGCATATTTTGGCAGTTCCCATCAGGCAATGAGGGTCCTAGATGAGGCAAAATACTGGAATCATGCTCCAAGAACTACTTTGATGTTCACAAAATATGTCATTTGGGCTCTTCATCTCTAACACTTTTAGTCTATGAAACCCATGACACCAAAGTTCTATGAAGGTACTTTAAAAAGTTTTTGGAAAATGGAAATGAAAGATGAAATTATCTTTGATACAAAAATATGTTAAATTCATGCATAGTTTTTTTGCAATATGCATTTCCTATGGGAAATGCCCCAGGACTCTATGAACTTTAAGGTTTTGCTTTTAATTTTATCTACTTGAAAGGCAGAGAGAGAGAGAGAAAGAGAGAGAGAGAGAGAGAACACCTTCATCTACTGGTTTACCACAAATGCCTGAAACAGAGGGCTGGGATAGGCCAAAGGAGCATATAACTCCATCTGAATCTCCCACATGGGGGTAAGGATCCAAGTGCTTGAGCCATCACCTGCTGCCTCCCAGGGTTTGCATTAGTAGGAAGCTGCAGTCAGGAATGACCCCAGGACTCCAACCCAGACACCCTGGTTTGGTGTGTGGGGTGTCTTCACTGTTGCACCACATGTCTACTCTTCCATGAACTTTTGAATACCATTCTTAATCTTATCTGGTAGAATACTTCCCGGTGAAACTGTCAATAGGACAAGGCTTCTCTGGTTATGTATGTGCTCTCTCATAGCTCAGGATAGCGACACATGCCTCAGTGACTTCTGGCCAAGGCCAGTTAGCATCTCCCTCTCAGAAAGAAGGTGACTGGTGACCACAGACAGGCTGAGTCACTTGCTGAAAGTAGAAGACCTGGGATTTGAACCCAACCGTGCCCAGCTCAGATCTTTGGGTTGATAAACACCAGGGCATACCCCTTCTCTTAACCACAACCTCAGGAAGAAGTTTCAAACTGTGTGAGAAAAAAATGTTGGCATTTAATTTCCAATGATAAAAAATCATTTCTTCAAGGAACAGAGCCAGCACTTAATCAGTATTTGCTGCATGCCACCTGCCTCATTCTCAGGATGGTAATATCTATTTGACAACCAGGGATAGAAGTGACATTCCTTTGAAAACGAGGCCACAATCTAGCTTTAAAAAAATTGTCTGATGCAAGGTAGACTTTAATTTAATTTAAGTCTTGGGAAGCAGCTTGCCCAAAAATGACTTTTGCAAGTCACGTACAGTATTTCAATCTGTCATTTTGTATTGACCTTCACAGGCTTAAAATATATTGCACTGGACTTGTGAAGCTTATGAGAATGATATTAAAGTTGGTAATATTTTCAAAATCTTATTTTATATCCACTTCAATTTTTACTCCACTATGTACAACTCATGAAAGCAATGATATTAGGGAACATTCTTAGATACCTACCACTTTTCTTGTTAATTAGAATTTATTGAGTTTAATTCAATAAGTCACTCTAAAGTTAGAAGGCTTACTCCAATAGAATATAAAAAAATCATATCCAGAAGAACAGTTGCCTCCATATTTGACACTGAATAGTGACTTTATGTTAATCTTTTATGTGTTTTTTAGGTCTAGGTCTCAGTGTATTATAGTTTGTATACACAATCTGAATTTGGAATAACTTAATTTAATTAAATCTTACATCGTTGAATATAATTCTTCTACAATCTATTTTTCCTGTTTCAATTTTCACCCTTCAATAATCTCATAATAGAAATTAATCTTCTTTAATGTGTGATGCTTTTTACTTTGTTGGCCAGTGCAGAACTGAACTCTGCATCACTCATTCTGCCTATTTTGCTTTATTTTCAGTTCTTCTTTGCCCATGTTAGAAATAATCGATTGCTGAAATAATTAATTACATGTTACTTCAAAAACAAGCATTCAAAGTATAAATATTAAGATAATCTTAAGAAAACACCAGGACATGTAATATGCAAACTCAAAATCTTTCAAGAAGGTAGAAAATTATAAATCACAGTACTTCAGTATAACTGACTATTTCAATACTTCAGTGCTTTTTAATCTCAAATAATCAGATTCTTCTCTTGAAAAATGTCTTTTTCTTTCCATTGTAAAAGATTAAATAAAGTACATTATCACCTATTTGTAACAAGAAAAGATACAACTGGTTTCATGATGAAGATGATGTGTGACTTGAACACATACATATAAAATCACTGCCATCTGAAAACTATTAAAATACATCTAAAGATTCTGTTGGTTTGCTTTGTTTTGATCAACAGTATTTCTCAGGAGCAAATAAAGCAGAGAAAAGACAACTAAACTACCAAGCAGAAAGCTGTAAGTGGTAGACAGAAGCAAGAGTGCTGAGTGACTTAGTGAGGCTGAAAACACTACCCCCGAGCAGATCAAACAGCAAGGGGAGCTGATGGCACCAGGTGCCTCTGGAGGCACAGGCTGAATGCAGGCACTGAACTGCAGAAGCTCAGTTGGAAACTGTTAGCGAGGCAGTGAGCCCTGCAGACCCTCTTTCACTGAGGGTGCTGGGTAACTCGCCTTTCACACCCCAAGAAAACACTGAAAACTCCTGGCTAGAGCAGAGGAGCCAGGAGATGTCTGTTTATCTGGTCTGGAACAAAGAGAAGAAAGAGGAGAGGGGCTCACGTGACCACCAATAGGCTGGATACAGAACACATGAGTGCCTTCTCCCGTTGGGAAGCAGAACTCGGGAACTGGGCCTTTATCTCCAGCGTCTTCCCTTGTGAGGTCAATATACAAGGGGCTGATAGTGAGCTCATCAATGCAATGGCTCTGCTAGACCTGGCCCTAAAATGAAGCATAAACTCCACACATAGGGCTAGAGCTGTCACTTACACTTTTAATCCAATAATCACCTGACATTTTACATGAATACTAGACTAAAACAAACACAGAGAAAAATGTGCGTATAATCCTTGAAGAAAGAGAATGTGCAAGAAGAAATGCTTCATAGCCATCATTAGTATCCTTGGGGAGACATTAGAAGATGCTACCACCTCCAACTATAAAAGGTGTTATAAAGATGAGAGTGTCCTGTAGATTTCTCTAAGCAAAAACTAAAAGAAAGAGTCTTGAATGGTTTCACCACAAAGAAATGTTAGAAATTTGAGGAGTACAACATAACTACCTTCAGAAAACCAGGACACAGGCACCGTTGGGGGCTGGGTTCGAAAGGAAGAGGGAAATCCGCTTCTTTAGTGAAAGCCAATAAACAATTCCTAAAACTGAAATAACAACATTAAGAAGGAGGAGAGGAGGAGGAGGAAGACTAGCACAAAACTTAGAAATAGAGAAGTGAATTCTGAGAGAATACAGTTAAAATAGTTGAAGCGATTATCTTTAAAAGAAAAAATAGTAAGATGAAAGACAGAATCAGAGATCCATATTATTCATAGTTTCTTGGAACTTAGTTCTGCAACTATGGTTGGTATAATTATACCATAAACAATCTGCAACGTATATAAATGCTTTTAGTGAGGAGAATTCAGAATTGTTAATAAACGCTGCTATTCTTTCATCAACTACTAAGACAGTCTCTTGCAAATAATATAACACCATTTCCAAATTGTAGAAAATATGTATCTAACAGCACCAAGTTTTGGTCTCATAAGCATGTTAACAGTTATTTAGCAGTGACAATGGAAGAGAACACAGGGTCCAGGGTCTCAAACTGAGTTTTACTATCTCAATGGGATCATGATTTTGTGAATGAGATATGGAAAAAGAAACGTTTTGCAGTTTGGGGAGTAAGAAGTCAAAGCATATGATCTACCTTAATTAAAACCACCTAATACTTATTATAAAGCCCATAATTTTCTTACCTTTCAATCAAATGACATGACAATAAGCCATCAACTGCATCCATTTGTGCATTTCTTGAATTAAAAAAAAATTCATTTGAGTGGCAGAGAGAGAGAGAAATAGAGAGAGAGAGAGAGAGAGAGAGAGAGAGAGAAGAATTCAGAGTCCCCTTCACCCAACAGATGTCCTCAGCAGTCACTGGGGCCGAAGCCTGGAGCCAGGAATTCAATCTGGGATTGCATGTGGGTAGAAGGAACCTGATTATCTGTGCCATCACACTGCCCTCCCAGAGCCTGCTTTAACAGGAAGCTGGAGTCGGGAGCTCAAACTGGGTTCAATACCTATGATATGGGATGCCCTAAGCACTTGGCTGTCCCGCACCCACCCATTTATGCATCAATTCAATAAAGACTGGAGGCATTTGGCAGATGCCCACCATGTGGGAATTCATAGATGGGCCGTGCAGTCAACTTGTCTGCATCAGGAGTCTGCTCATCCAGTAAGTACACATTCTTAGAATCCTCGGAAAAAAATTTAAAAATTCCCTTACCCATATTTTATCTTCTTTAACCAAACAGTGTCCTCAGATTCAGATCATATGATCTGTCTCATTGATTAAAAGTGGAAAAACCTCCTTTAATTTAGGTGCAATTCATTAGCAAGATGATAAGAAGAAGATAAGCAGTTCCATATTCATGAAAAGACTGCTCTCCAAAATATTCTTAATGCATCTTACTTGGAGCCTAGAATTCGTTTTCCTCCAGAAATAATACTCAAATCAGAACAGCTAACATTTTAAGTGTGTTTGAGATTGTTAGGATTCTTGGCCTCCTTGAGTTCTGTTGGCAATACCTACATGGGTATATCTGCTCATGCAAATGTACGCAGATCATGTTTTGTGTGATTAAAAAGTTGTGTTGTCAAGTGGCGTACTTACCAGTGTTCCTTTATTGCTTTCTAAAGGCACACAGTCAAAGTACTAAAAATATAGACGTGTGCCCGAAGGCTTCATGGTAGCTTTTGTTTCAGCATGAAATTCAGTATTTGATGGCGTATTACGTTCTCATTCCCATCAACATTTTTGCGTGAACTGCAATATGTGAAGCCTAGGAGTTAGGGAACAAGGGATACACATTAAATCCCATTATTATGGATGACTTGATTCAAGGTAATTTTTTTTAGAAAGACTAGATTTTTATGTAAAGTCATTTTAATGTGAATATATGATAGGAAAGCTCTTTGAGAAAATAAACTTTTTAAAAAGACATTATTTTAAAACAGAGACAATATTTTGAAATAGCTGAACATGCACAAGCCCTTTCCTAGACATATTATTCCAAATGTCTGACATTATCATTTCATGGGAAAGGGACTGCTTTACAAACATCCTTTCCTAAAATGTGGAAGAACAATTTCTGTCACAAAGGAGGTTGCACAGATTCTCTGTGAAATTCCCTGAAGTATAAAACTGGCTAATCAGTGCATTCTCTTCACAAATAATCCTAGTCCATTTCCAAAATTTCACTCATTATTAAGCAGTAAAATTTTTATTTTTTTAAATAAAAAAGGAATTAAATCATATCTTTGTGTAAATGTCTTACAGAAGACATACTATATGGTGCAAGCTATTTACAACAAAAGTTGGTATATTTCACTTGGCACAAAAGAATCTGGTCCATAGCTCAATTACACGTACAATCTACATTTTGTAATAGGACAAAAATTCTACCCTGAAACCCACCCCAAATATGTTTTTAAAGAAGCGTAATCAGGCTGCCTGCCTTAAATCCTTTGATGCCTTTTTAGTTCATTTCTTGGTAGAAGGATTCTGTTTCTTTGTTAATCAAAGCTACTTTGCTGAATTGGTTTCCATGAAGACCTGAGAATATTAGCAAAGTCTATTGCTGGCTTTGTCGCCATTTGAATATTAACAGTCATAGTTTTACAGCCGCTCCACTTTGAGAAATGCGGTGCAACTCCCACAATCCAGCAGTCAATTTTTCCCTTCCTTAGCTGGCCATGGCCCTCGAAATGTTTTCGTGGTGTCACGGTGAATGTGCTCCGAGCAGAGTTATATGGCATCATTTGGAGAAACATTGCGTTAATAACCAGAGTTCAAGGGCAAAAGATATAAACGGAGCAAATTACAAGTCTGAGCAGATATATAGCTTTTGCTAAAAGGGACACGGGCTGCTACTTTATTTACTGGGCATTGGTGCACTTGGAAGGTGCCGGAACTCAGGCAGGCATCCTTAAATGATGGCATCACAACTTAAGAAAACAACACACATTTTCAGACCAGCGACTTTCACACATTAGCTCATTTTAGGTACCACCATGGAGGGAATGCCAAGGATTCCTGGGAACGTAAATCCAATGGATCATTCAAACTGCAACTCCCCTTTTCTTCTTCTTCTTTTTTTTTTTTTTTTTTTTTTTTCAGGATTTCTTGCTGTGCAAATCGTTAACCATCTTAACCAGCTTTACCACCCTAGTTCAAAATGAACACCATGGAAGCCTGATTCGTGAGAAAGCTGAGTTTTATTTTTACATGTTGACATCAGAACTGTCTCAATAATTAAATTAAAAAGTAGCCACACATTCAAAAGATTGAAAGGAAAACTAATGTTAAATAAAGAGAACTGAGGGACAACATCATTAATGGCCCAAAAAAAAATGAGTAAGAAAGAAATAATTTCTACCTGCTTCCTTACCAAATATTTTTTCCTAATCCCTAAAAGTCTGAGATTATTATAACATACTGTAGAATATGTGATACATATCACAATGCAGACTTGTATCAAAACATCACTTGTCCAATTTCAGTCTTTGTCAACTAAAGCTAAAAAATGTGATAAAATACTTTTCTATTGGCAGAATGGGATCATACAACTTTTTTGCCAAATTGCTTGAAAGCCATCGCAGAGACTATCAAAATGTCATAAAGCATGGCCCATTCATTCTGATTTAAACATTCTTTGAAATCAGTAATTCAAAATGTGAAAATCTTGCCTTAAGATGTTCCTAGCTGTATTATTTACTGACACCTAGAAGCAATCTAAATGTCCAACATTGTATACATATACACTGAATGGAAGATTAAGCTTTTAAAATTGATTAGTATGTACGTGTTGGGGCATGAATGAATTTTCTCTACGTGTTTTTATTTATTTATTTATTTATTTTGGTATGTGCTATGTTGCCCTTTCGAGGTTATTGGGTTTCTTTACATTTTTTCTTTTTTCTCAATGTGGCATTTGAAGGAGAAATACACACACTCGAGCTGCCACTCTGAGCCACAGTCAGGTGACGCACACCTGCGCTGTGCTGCCCTGGCTCTCCGCTGTTGGAAACACGGGGCGCCCTCTCTTACAGCACGGGTCGTGGTGAGGGCGGTGGTCGCGGGTATTCTAAAGCGAGTTCTTGTGGGAAACACGGCTGTGTGCTCTGTGCTGCTGTGGGTCTGCGCAGCTGCAGGCGGCACCCCACTCCTGGCAGGCGAGACGTCCGCGAGGCACCGGGAAGCACCTGCAGCCGCGGCCTGCCTTGGGGACAATAATCCGCTTCCCCGCCCCACCTCTGGGTGGTGCCGAGTGTGTTTCCCCTGCTGCAATCCCCGCTCTCTACCGAATGAGTTTCTGGAACCAAACTGCCTACAACCGTGCGCCCTCATCTTGTTCCAAGGTCAAACCAAACGTGTTGGAATTGCACAGCACTTTCAAACACGTAAAAACCAAATAAATTCTGAAATGTCCCACAGTCCGACGTGCAAACTGGGTATCAGAACATAGCCTTCCATTTTATTTTGGAAAAAAAAAAAAAAAGTTCTTTTGGATTTAAAAGCCGACCGCCTTAGATTTCCATCCTGCATAGAGGATCCAAGACTTATTCTCCGCCTTCTCCCCCTTCCCCGCCCAATTTTTTTTAAACCAGTTTTCCGCGGTTTCACTGTTCCCTGAGAAAAGGAAACGCAACTGCTCCGGTCTGACATCATCTTATTTCTCAGACACGGACGGGCATCATTCGCATAAATGATAGATAAGACTGCAAAGCCGGCTTGCTGGGACGGCGCAAACGTCCGCCCGGAAAGCCGCGGGCGTCTTCCGTCCACGTCCCGCGCGGCGTTGCCCGGTGTCCCGGGAAAAGAGCGACCCTCCCGGTCCTGCGTGCCGGCGGCTTGGGCCCCGCCCGGGCGCGCGCGGCCAATCGCGGGGCAGGTGGGGCTGCACCAGCCACCTGCAGGCGCCTGGCCGCTCCTCTCCACTCTCCGCGGCGCGCCCGGCGGGCTGGCTGTGCCCGCGGAGCCGCCGTGTCCTCCCGGGGTGCCCGGGCCTGCCCTCTCTGCTTGCGGACACGCGGGGCCCCCCTCCGGGTGGAGCGTATTGGAAGCTGAAGAATTCCTGCTCCACAGCCCCAGGGTCGCCTGCGGTTCGCAACGACGCGGTAGACACCGTGTGGAGGACTGGGGGAGGGGAGCTTGTGGGCTCCCCGCAGCGGGGCGGTACAAGAAGCACCTACTGCTGGGTGCCTGGCCTGGCTTTGGCCTCCACCCCATTAAAATGTGCAGACGCTAAGATGCGTCAAGCACTTGGAATAAAAAGATGTTGGAGAATTACAGTGCTTACCTTTGGCGGGGAAGAATAACTGGGGACACTTTGAAGGGACAGCACGCGGTGCCTCTGGTGGAGTCTGCAGAACAGGTCCTTGCATGCTTCAGCCAACCATCCCGCCCCCAAGACCTAGATATTAACACACGGCTGACGATTACACCGTCTCCTCTGGCTATGAGAACGACCCCAAATGAAAACCTGTGGTGGAACTCAAGGGCCGGAAAGACAGAGTGCAACAATTCAAAAATGGCAAGGGACCCCCAGATCACAAGCACACCTTCGCTTTACAAACAGGCAAACCATCTGCAGCGCAACCCTTGCTTGGCGGCGCTAGGGGTAGCAAGCGCTGTGTTCTGCAGCTGCTCCAAGGGCAGCAACCGTAAGTCCTGACAACATGTTATGGATTTTGTAGCTGGGCCCCGTAACTCCCTGTGGCCTAAAGGATTCAAAACATCCACTTTATCATGTAATTTGAGGACAACTGAGGACAAGCATAAACCCCCTATATGCTGTGTCTGCGTAGATGTTGATTATGGTGGAACCAGACCTTGGAAAACAGACCTGCGAGCAGCTTAAAGCCTATTTCTTTTAAAATAATAATATTAATAACAAGAGAAACCGCAGCAGCAACCTTCACCCACTCCTCCACCACCCCCCAGTCCCTGCTTTGCTTCTGAATCATAAATCATGAAAAAGGCTTTCCTGCCTTTACAACTGGAACTGATAAAGCTTAAGAGAAGAGAAACAAACAAGTGAGCTGTGTTCCTACAGCCGCAGGGGGAGGGAGGCCGTGGGAAGTTCAAGGTCCCTGCGGGGTTAGGACCTCCCATGGCTGAGAAGGTGCTCCTCTGACTTGGTGGCTGTGGGACCGAACTTCCTCAGAGACCCACCCGGTGCTTCTGAAAGGGACACTGAGGCTAGACCACTTCTCCGACTCCATCGCCCGGGGTGTGGCCTGGACCTCAGGACTTTGGAAAACCTTTCCAGGCACTGGAATGTACAGCCCTCCAGCTGCACATTCCAATTTTGTTCTGTTTCATGGGATACGTGAACGGGATTCATGGGATATTTGTCTTATGTGTGGCATGAGCTATGATTACGACCCCCACATACACCCTCTCTCCTTCCCCCTCACTCGTAGACAGGGATCCCACGTTGGTAAGCAAATTCTCTCTTCTCTTCTGTGACTCACTCATCCTCATCTGTTTTCTGACTCATAAAAATTCACCATTCCTCTTTTAAGCACTTTGATAGCAATTTGTCTTTTTTTAAATTATTCTTTTTGCTATTGATGGATTTCTCTTTGTATTATTATTTGGTAGACTTGCTGGGGAACTTTGAAGTCTAAATGTTCTTCTGAGAGTGAACGGAGGCACCCACCGTGGTGGAGACATTCTCCCTTCAGCAGGTGGCTTTCATCCACCCACTTCGGGTGCACCTGAGTGGCCGTGGATGAAGGCAGAAGCACCGCACACATTTCATAGCAGCGCAGCGTACTCTTGCTGCTCGCCAAAGCGGAACCGGGGTTGCTCTCTCCCTCGGTTTCCTCACTCTGCGTGGCCAGCAACACCGTGTTTCTGGCTCATGCTGTACACTTTTCCTTGAGAGATGGATGATCTGTCCTTTGATCAGACATCCTGACCTTTTACGGGTGTTGATCATTGATCTCCATCTGGGCTGGATGGGAAGCGCTTGACTCTGAAAAGTTCCTCTGCTGCCGACACTGCAGGGAAATTCAATTTCTGAGTCATCGCAGCCGCTGCTGCCGGATTCCTTCTCAATTAGGGCTTCTCTCGTTATTATTTTACTTTTATTAAGCAAGCTGCAGCCTCTGCTTTCCAGCCCTAGCTTTTAGTTACAGTAATCAATTTTTCAGTGTAACTGGCTGTAATTGTTGGCTTGGATATTGAGCCTTCATGGGGCTGAGACATAGTGTGTTCCCGTGAAGAGTCCTGCATCCCTCGCAGACAGATGGGTAATAATACCATACATTAATACCTCCACATTGGCTTATGTGTGTTTGACCACAGTGCAAGCATAATTATTTTTGCCCAGTAAAAGCTATTAGAGATCTATTTGGTAGGTTTTACGATCAATAGCTCCTGTGATATTTGTGTAGCAGCCACAGAATAATCAATTGAAGGTCATATAAAGTAAATTACCATCCTCCTATAATGATTCTTTTTTCTAGATGAGAATTGGGTTTTATTATTTCACCAGGAGCCTCTCAGGACGCATGCTCTGTCTGTTGGAGAAAGAGAGGTAGAAAAGTTGTGAGCATCTTTTGAACATAGTATTAATATCCATTACTTGAATTTATGTTATTGGATTATTGAATTAGTGAAGTCACACTGGAATTCCTTCAAAACCCTTTCTTATGTACTCAGTGACACAGTTAATAACAGTAGGGAGCAAACCGACACCTTTGCTGCACGGTGGAGTGAGTCACTTTGCAAAAGTCAATCTTCATAGCTGTCTCTTTAAAGCAAATTTAGAGACGGTTAAATGTGTTATATTGACAGTGTGACCGAGCTTCTTTCTGCACACCTTTTTGGCAAGTGACTGGTGAACTAAGCAGGAGACGGAGTCAGAAATGCTGAATACTGATGCGTCTTCCACCAGCAGCTCAAGGGGAAACCAGTGGGGAGGGGTGAAGTGGAGAGACTCTGCACCTGCTTTCCTGCCAAGCTTCTTCCTCAACTGAGTTGCCTAACCTGGATTTCAGACTCACAGCGCAAGCCGAAGTGTTGGCTGTGCCTCCATAAAAGATTGCAATTTTCCAACCGGAGGTATGCAATCCCTCAACTGTCTTAAAGGGACCCATTTTCAAAGTTTAGTCCTTCCTTTTGTGGGTGCAATCAGTTGTGCACTGAAAAACTGCAGCCACAGTTGGATAACTGCAGGCACAACAGGCCACAAGAGGCCTCTTTGCTCCAAATTTTGTACCTGCAACTAATTGCACTTACAGAAAATGGGAGTGTGGAAGGAGCTTTTATAAAAATTTGGGCCAGTAAATTCTCCATGGAGGAAATAGGCAAGGGAAGAGACAGCCACTCATGTTCTTAAGGACAGAGACAAATGGAGATGTCTTCTCGTCACACACTTGCTCGGGTCTGTAGGGCATGGTCTGGAAGCTGAACGCCAGGTACCACAGTGCAATCTGGCTGGAGACTCTGATTCTTTGCAAATGTAAAGGAAATAGCCTACTGAGAGGCAACCAGAGAAGATGCTACGGAGTTTGAGACTGTCAAATTGGTGATAAATCAATGAGGTGTTTTAGAATAAATGGTAGATGGATTTTATTTTTTAAAGAAATTGTTACTAGTGTTGTCACTTCTTATTTGCTTTGCAGACAAACAGCACAAAAATTAAGATAGCAGTGATTTTAGATTTTAATCAAAAGGTAACTCAGGAAGCACTTCAAAGTTATACACTCTTCAAAACTTTCATGGAAAATGTGTATTATAGAAAAACTATGTGTGGTTTAAAAAATTTTAGTGCCAAAATGAGGTTATCCTTTAATTCTATTTTTCCATGAATTTTTTGAAGTTTTCCAATGTCAACATACATACTACATTTATGTATTCATATATATCCATGTATATAAACCTATTTGTACAAATATTAGATGTTTAACTGTGTGTACATTAATACATAGACACAATCACACACCTGTGTGTATTTTTATACACACACATGTAGAATTTTTACTTCTAAAAAAATGAGCCTATGTAAAGGGTGATCTTGCTCTTGGGGCTTGTGAAGCTACATCCCACCTTCTCCACTGTTCAAAATGGTGACAAGCAAGTTAAGGTGGAGCCTAAGAACTTAGTACCACCTTTTTTTAAGACAACTGTACATAAGCTCAAATCCTGGGAAATAGAAGTCAAATGCAAAGTACCACTGGCAACCTGAGAAATATTCTTCCAGAAAGAGTTTGAAATGTAATTGTATCCCAGTGACAAATTTAATCACGCAACAAGACAGGAAAAGGTCTTGGTAGTACTTAAAATTTTCAGAAAATTGACAAGGAGTAGCCCAGTAATAGTTCATAAGAAGGCAGATACATGGAGCAAAACTGGATATCTACATGCAAAAGAATTATATAGGACCTCCATCTTACACCATGCACAAAAATCAACTTAGAATGAGTTAAAGACTTAAAGGTAAGGCCAGAAACTCTAAAATTCCTAGAAGAAAAGGTAAGGGAAAATGTTATGACATTGGTGTAGGCAAGTATTTTGGACAAGAATCCAAAAGCATAGGCAACAAAAGCAACAATAGAAAACTGAGACTGCAACAAAATCAAAAGCTTAAGTTCCGCAAAGTAAGTGATCAACTGAGTTAAAAGGGAACCCAGGGAATAGGAGAAAATATTTATAAGCTGTGGACCAAATAAGGGATTAATTTCCAAATTGTGTAAGGTGCCCCTACAACACAATAGCAAATACTAATGACCAAATTTCCAAACATGGTTGTACTAGTCCATTTTTTTTTGTTATCATAATTAAATACTTGAGGCTGGATACTTATAAAGAAAAGAAGTTCATTTAGTTCACAGTTGTGGAACTCCAGGACTGAGGGGCTACATCTGGCAATGGGCCTCTTGCTGGTAGAGTTCCCAGGCACTGCAGCAGTGCGGGGCACCCCAAGGTGAGGCCCAGCAAGTATGTGTCTATATTCCTGCCGTCTCTCTCTCTCTCTCTCCACCCCACCTCCACCTCCACCTCCACCTCCACCTCCACATAGAGTCGCTGGTATTCAATCATAAAGCATCACCCTGATGAATTTATCTAATCCTAATCGCCTCCTAAAGGCTCCACCCAATCAGACTAAGTTTTCACCCTCTTAATACCTCACAATGGAGATGAAATTTCAAGACATAAACCCTTGGGGGATGCAGTCAAGACAATAGCAGTGGGCTAAGGACATGCGTAGACATTTTCTGAAAACATACAAGTGACCACAAGGTTCCTGAAGTTAGTGTCACAAATCATTAGGTAAAGGCAAATTATAACTCCAATAGAGCAGCCACTCCACTTCTGATCCAGCTTCCTGTTCATGTACATCCTGGGACACAGCAAGTGATGACTCAAGTACTCGGGTTCCTGCAGTTCATGTAGGAATCCTGTACTGATTTTTCAGACTCTGGGCTGCAGCCTGGCATAGTTCTTGTCTGTTGCAGGCATTTGGGGAGTGAACTAGCAGATGGAAGATCTCTCTCTCTTCTCTTCTCTCTCTCTTCACTTCAAATAAAATTTTGAGAAAATTTAACAATAAAACTTCAGTGAGATTTCAGCTCATTGATGGTTATAGGTTCATGTTCATTAGAATAGCTATTGTAGGGGTAGGCAATGTGGCCCAGTAGGTTAAACCTCCACCTGCGGTGCCGGCATCCTATATGGGTGCTAGTTCTAGTCTCGGCTGCTACTCTTCCAATCCAGCTCTTGGCTATGGCCTGGGAAAGCGGTAGAAGACGGCTCAAGTGCTTGGGCCCCTGCACCCATGTGGGAGACCCAGAAGAAGCTCCTGGATCCTTGCTTCGGATTGGCCTAGCTCTGACCATTGTGGCCATTTGGGGAGTGAACCAACAGATAGAAGACCTTTCTCTCTGCCCATCTTCATTGTCTGTAACTCTACCTTTCAAACAAATAAATAAAAAATTGTACAAAAAAAAAAAAGAATAACTATTGTAGAACAATGTAGTGAACGTTGGCAAGTATATGGAGAAACCAGAGCCCTAATGCAGTGTTGGTAGAAATGAGAACTTTATGCTGAATGAGATAATCTGGTCACAGAAGGACAAAATGACATGATTCCATTATACAGGGTAGAATAGTATTTGCCTGGGACAAGAGGAGAGAGAAATGAGAGTTTCTAATGGATGAATGGAAGGTTCCAGTTATGTAAGAGGAGTAATTTTTAGAGAGCTAGTGTTTAACATTTCCCTAGAGTTCACAACACTGAATCGTACACTTAAAAATCTGTGAAGAGGATAAATTTCAAGTTTAGTGTTTTTATCACAGTAAAATAAAAGTATAAACAAGAGAAACAAAATGAAAAGGAAAGAAAAAAAGAAGCAGTGAAGCCTGAGACACCATGGCAGAGGGTTTTGGGAATAAGACAGTGAAGGGCAGGACAGGGGTGTACGTGGGTGCATCATGACGTGGGTGACCATCACATTAGAAACTTGGGTCCTTTTCCCTACAGAGTGATACTGAAAGAACTTGCTAGGTTTCTCACTTATCTACTTCATATCTGGATGTTGATGTAAATATGAATTCAACAACACACACAGAGTGTATTTTGGCATCAGTACCAGAAATTGTTTTCAGCTCAGGTGCACTGGCCTAGGAATTGAGTCTCTCCGGCAAACTGTTTCCAGAGACTGAAGTGGCTCTGGAAGTGCAAATAAACCCCCAGGTAGGTTATTAAGGGCCTCCAGACCTTCATCATAATTGGAACATCCACGGCTGCAGAACCCGCTCCTCTTCTTTCTTTTCTAAACAGTCTCTCCCATTACCATGTGGGGAACCTATCAAACATGGAGTGTGTCTCTCACAGGCATTCCAGTGAATCCCTGCATCTAGCTTGGGTGTTGCATATCCAAAGAGGACAGAGCGTACAGAGATTCACAGAAAAGGAACCCAAATATTATCAACCAGAACACTGAGACATGTTCAGAAAATTGTTCTACAGAGGTAGACAGGACAAAGAGGACAAGAGTATGAAGCAATCAATGAGAACATAGCCAGACTGTTCTTCAGCGGTAAAAGAAATAGCACCCATGGAAGTGAACTTCAGTTAGGAGCAGTTTCTATGTACAGAAAAAATATTCTATTAGCTGTAGGAGCTAAATGATAATTTTAATGAGCAACAAAAAGAAGTTATAAAACATCAATCCCTGTAAGTAAAAACAAAAAGCTCTATATAATTGAAGCATTCAGAAATACGCTGTTGTTAGAACGATAGATAATGGTCACAGTGAAGGTCATTGGAATGACTTCCTTGTAAATGTCTGGAACAATTTACACCATCCAATCTCTCAGCACTCAACTTGACAAACCTGGATGCTGTTCTAACGCCATACTTTCCCATTACCTGGTCTAGGAGCTTCCTTTCATAATGTTGCTGATCCTACATCATCTTGGTTTTGCTTTAAAATAATAAAATTCAAGATCTCAAATGAGCTCTGTCTCTGCCCTAGAGCTCTACAAAGTTTCCCCATGAAGAAGAAGCAACAAC